CCCCCCCCCCCCCCCCCCCACCTCCTGCATGATTCATCTCCATCCGATATCACTGTCTGCCTGCTGGTTTATATACCGTCAGCTCCTCCTGCAGGACTCCTCCTCCCCTCCTCACCTCCTCCTCTCTCTTCCTCTGCTCCCATAGGCCCTTATTCATTCTCTCCTGTCCATATGGTTTCTGCAGTCAAACAGAAGAGCGCCTTCGCCCCCGTCGTGCGGCCACAGACCTCCCCGCCCCCCACCTGCACCACCAACAATGGCAGCAACCTCCAGGGTGAGCATCCCACCCCCCCACCCACAACCCCCCCACTCCCGCCTGTCAGCACCCCCCCACCCTCGCCCCCCGTAATGATAATAACTCTTTATTTGTTACATGTGGAGACCTGCTGTTTGACACTCGGACGTCAAAGTTGATCCATAACTTTTCTGGTGTTTTATTGAGAATTTTCATACATTTAAATTCTTCATGTTAAAGGTTGGAACCATCAGTAGATGGATTTATATTTACTGATGTTTGATGATGGAAAACTTTGCTAAATTTCAATTATTTTAAGGTGTTTTTAAGAAGTATTCATGTCGTCATTGTTTCCTGATAATCGATACGATGCCGGATCTCTATAGATATAAATATAAATAGATAGTCACATCTTCATGAGGTCGGGTTGCTGAGGTTGAGAGGACTACGAGTACAAAAACAAGTTTATCTTTTTAGGAAAATAAACGTTTTAGGGTTCAATAATAGCAACAATGTAACTTCATACAATAGAGTCCGTTACCTGATGGTGCAAACCAATGAAAGACAGTCAGGGTGCGACTGATTTTGTAAAAGTTGAAATGAGGACTTATCTTTATGGATGCGACCTAGAGACCAGCGTTCATGCTCTCTAGTTACCAGACCTTCAACGTTAGCTGTTAGCCGTTAGCAGCCGGTGGGCAGCACAGTCCTGATTGGCTAACGGAGCTAACAGCTAATGTTAAGAAGAGGTTGCTAATGAAGCTAACACTATTTGGTGCAGCGTTAATTAAATAAATGTAAGTTGTACTTAAACCTGCAAACACTCAAATACTCTGTGCTGTCCCATTTTAATGAACGTGTTTTCAGAAAACTAAACTTGTCGGGCCAATAATGAGCAGAATGACTTGATGAGATGGCACTTCTTGTAGAGAAGCTTCTTCTTTGTCTCCAGAGAGACGGAGCGCTCGTCCACATTGGTTCCTCTGACATTCAGCAGAGAGACGAGTTTATTTCTGCTTCTGATTGTTTTGTTTTGTCGTTGAGAGAAATCAAACTGAGTGTTTTGTCTGGTCGTCTCTCTCAGCTATGGCAGGTCTCATCGTGCCCCCAATGTGAGGAGGGTTACCAGATACCGTCAGACCACCACCCCCCCCCCCCCCCCCCCCCCCCCCCCCCCCCCCAACCACTGATGGCCCCGCCCACATGTCAGCCACACAAAAAAAAGAACCTTCCCATCATCCCCTCGACCGACCATTTGACCGCCAGTCGACGTCATCGTGGAGGTGAACTGTGTGGGGGGGAGGGGGGGCAGTGTGTGTGTCTGCAGTGTGTGTACTACATGTTGTGTTGAGTATTAGTTGTGTTTGACTTCAGAAGTCTGTGGAGACTAAAACAGGTCTCGGATCAGTTTGAACCACTGTGAGACAGGAAGGAGGCGTGTCCACCGGGAGCTTCTGGTCACTCATTGGCTAACAAGTCAATCCGGTTTGATCTGGTCAGAATTAAAGTGCCAGTGCGCTTCTATATTTTAGTCATTTAGTACAAATCACTGCTAAATATTTTGTAAACCATTATTTTTATTATCTATATAATATGAAATAATGCTACATGTTGTGTAATCCATCACAGTAACCACTGCTTTATTTATTGTTAAGATATATCTTCACTTAAAGGAGTTCTGCATGAGACCAGATCCTGTCAGGTATGGAGGACTCACCTGAACTTGACAGGTTTTTATTCTCGATTTAATCCAAAGACTCAATAATAAAGAAATGATTTAATTTAATTACATTTGAAAGTTTTACGCAACAAAACATCTTGAAGCCTGATGCTGATTGGTTCAAGTGAGGTAACAGAACTGAACTATAAATAATAATAATAATAATAATAATAATAATAATAATAATAATAATAATAATAATGGAGATTTGGAAAAAACTTTATTCAACTTAATTTAATTTGACAAACTTAAATTTGTCACTCAAATGACAATTTATTTAAATCAACACAAAGAACAACTGCAGACTTGATGTTCACTGTGATGGATTACACAAGAGCAGAGTGGAAATGAGTGGAAACCAATGGAGGAAAATAAAACATTAAAATGTGCAGACATCATTGACATTCATACATTAAAGCACACTGGTCTGGTGCCTGAAATATTAAAATTATTAATTTTTGAAAAAAGTCTACCAGTGTTTCTGCATTGATTATTTAAATAATTAATTGTATTTATTTATTTCACGGGAAAATCAACCTGCAGAGAGAAAATGAATATTTGTCGACATTTCGTCTGCTTCTACTTTTCTTATTGTTGCGTCACAACGAAGTTCATTCTGCACCTTTTTAAACGTCATCACGCAACAATACATGAATATTCGTCTCTGCAGATTCATTTTCTCAACAAGTCTCATAAGAGTATTTGGTTTTGTAGTAAATGAGCTAAAATATGCAAAGCAGCGATTCCTTTAACAACGAAGTGATTCAGAAATGATGTGTGAGACGCAGAGTGACTGTGTTCAGGTTAAAACACGTTCTTTAGTCTCTTCAGTTAATATTTCTCTCACCGGATCAGAAGCTCTCGGTGGATTCTGAATCTAGAACCCGTCAGACGGGTTCTAGATTTTCAATCAGAAATCTTCCCAGTGCCCCCTAAAGATTAAAATCACATCTTCTGGCATTTAACAGAGTTTGTCTCATATTCTAAAAAGGAGGAAAATGCAGTAATTTTCTAACGAAAGAATCAAAAGTCCTGCAGAGAGAAGAACAAAAGTTACAATAACTGAATGAAGTTGAGGCGGCCCAACGTTTTCTTTTTATTTTGGATCATTTTTTATTTCCTTGTTTTGGACGTCTCTCTCATCTTATTGTTTAATCCAGTACAATAGTTCTGTTTCAGGTGTGTTGAGTGGTAGATTTTAACCAGAAAAAGCTTGCAGCCGTTCTAATCACGTTTAGGTACCAGATTCTCTTCTTATTCTTCTGACTGTGCTTATTTTATATGTATTTATAAAAAGTATGTTTTTGGGGGAGTTCCTTTTGTGATTTTAGGCCTGAATGATAGTCTCAAATATATATATGTAAACACATTTGATGTCTTAATACCTTTTAGATATTGTAAAAAGAGTGAACAAGTGAGAGGAATTAACCCTTTTGTAAAAACAAAACAAACAAAAAAAACACGTCACGACACGGTCGCCCTGTTTTTGAAAGCAGGACGTAAAAAAAAACAAAAAAACGCTTTCATCACTTTTGTATAAAAATGCTTTTACGATATGATATTTAACTTTTTGTAAACAGCATCATTTGTGTTTCCCCTGGTTCTTCTCGTCCTTTTGTGTATTATTGTGAAATGTATAATCATGGTTCTTTCTTAATGCACTATTCTTTTGTTGGGGCACTTAATAAAGAGCAATGCATCTTAGCAAAAAGAAGAAAAAAAAGCTAAAAGTAACAAAAAAAGACGAAAGCAAGAGCGATATGCACCGATATGGTTTTTTTTTCCTGCCGTTGGGAAACGGTAAAAAAATCCTTGTCATGTGAAATTTTTATATTTCAGAAGCTTATAACGATCATACTATTCCTCCAGTCTTTACTTTTGGACCGAGCGTCTCTCTTGGTTTCGGTGTTTAGGAGACGATGTTTTATCCATCTTAATATTAGACCCGATCCTCTCGTCTTTGTGTTTTTTTTTCGTGAGAATGAACGATTTAAAAACAGGCAGCAAATTTTTAAAACTAAAGGTTTTTGGGTTCACTGATCTCAAGGAAACTTCCATGGACGTCGGTGTTGTTGTTGGTGGTTCCGTCCTCGTTGTCGCACACAATCTGGATCTTTGACTTATGCAACTGTGTTCCTGTTCTGTGATCAAAACGTTTGGAGGAATCAAAAGAACTAGAAGTGGTGTTTTTGATGCCTTACAATCGACAACTTCTCTTTGTTTGACAAAGTTTTAGTTCTGCAGCGGATTGTTTTTTTATTTAAGTCTCCAGTCAAACTGTGAGAACTTCTTTTTTTGTACCAGACGTTCATCCCTCAGGTTCCCCAAAAAAACAAAGTTTGCATCATCAGCAATGACCTGAAAGAGAAAACGTTAGCATTTAGCAGTTAGCCTTCCAAACAGCAACGCACAGCGCCCTCAAACCACACAGGAAGGAACTACAACACCATCTGGGACGTTACTACAGAAGCTCTCCTCGTTCACCATCTTTAAATATTACTTCTACGGCACGTAAATATGATTTAACATCTCACAAACACAAGAAATGACAATAAAATACATTATTCATTTACAAGATTTGGATATCAAATTACACAAATCTCATAATTTCGATGTGTTCTAGTAAAAATAAAATAATTAAAAGATCTGAATTTCATATTAATGAGAAAATTAACTTAAATGTTTCACAATTTCGAGATTTATATTTCAAATAAAAACAAAAATAAACATCTTAGAATTCTGACAACTTTGTGTTCATATCTCAGAAGAATGAAACTAATCTAAAGTCATCGTCTGTTTGATCAGAATCTCTTTTACAAGAAAACTATCAGAACAGTTTCAAAAATCTGTAAATTTACGAGACAATGTTTCTACATTTATAACATCTGTATGCTACAGTCACGAATATGAAAAGGGTGAAATGAAAAGAAGACGTGAACTAACTCTCTCTGAACGTCTTTGACGTGAGGGAAGGAATCTGAAGTTTGGACGGATTCAACTTTTTTGACTTTATGCAAATCCAGCAGGACGTCAGTCTCTGCACAACATCAGCCAGCTGGTGGTTGAACATCTGTCCAGTGTCTTTAGGAAAAGCCATTTCTTTCAGCGACACTAATGAAACGCAGCCGGTGAACAGTCACACCTCGCCCTCAACGTGAACGTTTCCGTCTCCACCTTTCGAACAGCTCGCTGTAACGTTTTTTTATTTCATTTTATTTCGGTCACAGTTGTAGAAAGTTTGCTTCTCACCATCCTGGTTTTCTGCCGACGTTTTAAAAAAACTGCAAAATATACTTTTTTCGATGTTTTACTTCAATGTGAAAGAGGGCAGAGGTACTGCATCTTTGTGAAATATGAAATATATCATCAAAGTATATCAAAGCACAATGTTTAATTAATGTCTTTAGAATACAAACTAAAGCTTTCTTTGGTTTCCTGTCTCGGGCCATGCTGTAAATAGATGCATGTCTTTTTTTGTTTTTTTTCCTGTGATCCAGTGCTTTTTGTACAGAAACAGTCTAATAAAGATTACATTTGGCTTGAACTCTCAGCTGTCACGAGTCTGTTTGTAAAAAGTTTAAAATGTCTCATGTTGAATGTGAAGTGTCACAACGTGATTATAAGTCAATGCAAAGAGGCCAAGTGTAACATGAGCTCTGTGTACAAACCATAGGACAGAAAATACCATCGTTGCCATATTCATGACGTTATGAGTGTTGATGGAGCTGCTACGATGTTAGCGTAGCCTAGCACCGATAGATCCAAACTCAGAAAACAAACATTCTAAGTTGTTTGCTTGTCTTTTAGCGGAGAGAACTAACAAAGCATCAACTCAGACTTTTTACAAATCAGCATCATTATGAAGTTGATTCATCTTCTTTTTTAACCGTTAATTAATTTGCGAAAGTAGTTTAAGTCCATGTAATGAATTAACGAGAAACATGTAGCTGACATCCACGAGATAAAGGTAAGAAAGGGGGAGAAGGGTTAAGGTGAAGAATATTGAGCTTGAATTAGGCTGTTTTTCAGAATAAAAGTTGCATGAAAGAAATCACCTGGAGTGACTGAAGGACCCGGTGGGACAAAAAAAACGACCAAACTTTTCCAACATCCAGCAGAAATATTCTATGATGACGAAATGATGAAACTGTTGGCGGAGGACGGTGAAGACGGAGCTCTGACTGAAGGTAAAAATATCAGCCAGACTTAAAGAGAACCACGTGGAGGTTTGTGTGGAGGACCAGATTCAGGAGGGTCACATGGAGGCTCGTGTTGACAGTCACAAATCCTTCTCTTGAATCCACGAGACCACAGACACACGTTTAAAGACGGACAGGTTTTATGAACCGATGACGACTGCAGAGTCACATTTTTGTACCGTGAAACTTTCAGATTTTACAGGGAAGCCAAAAACCTGAGTCTAAGTCTGA